GAAGCAGTGTGACAAGTTCATCCTGGAGACCAAGCAGCACATGTCTTCCCCTCCAGAGCCAGGAAGCAGTGCTCAATGTGAGGACCAAAGCTTCTCCAGAAGAACCAACAGCTCAGACAGCAACTCACAGAAGAACCCACAATGCTACAACGCCTTAACACTTCAACCCTTCACACCTCCCTTCTTCTCCACCTATTTATGCTGGCAACTTTCCTCAGGTGGAGCAATGCCATGCTGATATAATCCAGCTGGTGTTAAGTTGACCACCCGTTCTTAATCCATAACAAGTAACTTAGATTTTGTTGAGTTTCTTGAATCTCTGGGTTGCTATCTTTCATTTACTTTGGACATTTTAATATTGCTTCAGCATTAATGCTCTATCTTCTGGAACTTATTTCAAATGAAGCCTGTCTGTGTATTCCACTTGTCTTTTATCGTTTGTATTTACCATCTTTCTTTCCTTCCTTTGAGTTTGAGTTTTTCTTCGTTCATTTTTTGAGACAGGGTCTTGCTGTGTACTTTAGGCTGGCTTTGAACTCACTTTATAGCCCACATTGTCCTCAAACTTGCTGTGATCTTCCTGCCTCAGCTTGCCAAGTGCTGGGATTACAGGCCTGCACTATCATGCTTGGCTTGGGTATTTTTTTATTGATCTGTCTTCCAAATCATTAATCTTGCCTTCTGCTAAGTCCCTTATAGTAGATGTTATATTTCTGCATTCTGGAGTGTACATTTGATATTTTTTATTTTCTTACACCATTATGGCTTCTCTTTCCCCAGTGACAGTCATGATCCGGAGCTTATGTGCAGAATCAACAAATGTACCAATGGAGGGGGGACACACCTATTGATTGTTGATTCACTCTGAATATTCTTCACTTCCCTAAATATTGGTCCATCTGGCTCATATTGCTTCCAGAAGTATTAGATGCTTTCAGAAATGTTTTTTGTAAATTATTTGGATTTTTCTAACCATCAGCAGAAATGTTGACCTACTACACTCTACTATATTCTATTTGAAAGCAGAATTCTATACAGATGTTCTTGGATGCTTGTCAGGTGCCAGCTATTCTTCATGCTTCTGGATGTGGGACTGCCCTTGCCCTCAAAGAGTTCCAGTCTAAGGTAGTGTTATGGTTTGTGTTTGGATGTCTCCCCAAAACCTCATGTGGTCATGGGGGAGGCCTTTCCAGAGTGGCTGAGTCTAGAGTTTGTGACTGATTTTGTTGTCTAGTGCTAGGATTGGTGGTGTGAGTGTTACACCGGCCCAGGGACCAGTAGTTTGCATACAATGTAAGGGAGAAAAGAGGCATGCCCTCCCCTTTTTGCCCTTTTTGCTCTTGTTGCTTGCGACTGCCATGATGTTTACTGCTTAGCCACATTCCTTCATTTTGGGCATCAGGCATTTTGTTTCAGCAATGAGAGAAAAGTAACCAAGATAGATAAATTAAACACAATATATAGTAATAATATATGTTCAATACTGTAACAGAGGCGCTTACTATGGTAAGAGAAAACATGAACTAGCAGCACTTGTTTAGGAAGTTTCAAGTTTTATAATTCTGTATGGTTGCAATTTTAGAGTTCAGCAGCAAAACTATAACAGTAAGATTGGCAAGAGATGGACATAGGGCTGAAAGTAAAGAGCCCTGTAAGCCATGGTAAAAAGGTATCTGTGTGGAAAGCAGTTAAAATTTAAACGTAGAGAATAATGACCAGACTTTGTTTTAGAAAGATTACTTCAGTGTCAGTGTGAAATGTGGATTCTAGAAGGGCAGGCATACCAGAGGGATCAGAAAGGAAGCTGTTGCAGTTGGCCCAACATGGAATACAGGATTATCGTTCTCAGGGGATTTAAAAACAATGTTGAAAGAATAGAATTGATATAAGACAGGGAATAGTGGGGTTAAAATGGGAGCGAAAGACAAAAATTCAGAGGCTTTTAGCTTAAGTAAAGACCATAAAGGAAATACAGTAGAAGAAGCAGATGAGTTCATCTTAGAATGCTATGTGTTCCTATTTCGTTAACTTTTAACAGTTTTTGTCATACAGTCTGAGAGCTTAGTTATGATCTACTCCTCAGGGGATTCCAAAGTTACCATTATGAAATTCCAGAGGTGAATAACAGATGTGGACCATTGCTCTCACCCCAGCTTTAACAAAGAGACCCTCTGACTTTGTCTATTTTATATATCAAGACTTCCACTTAAACATTTTATGCAAGGAAAGTTTTCAATGCTAAAAGAAATTGTCATTGTTACCTTTCTCATTTAGATCTCTGTTTTGTTTGAACAGATTCCTTTCTTCAAGTATCCTCCTCTGGTGGGTTATATAGATGATACTTCTTCTCAATCTTTGCATATTGTTCTTCTATCTTGAAGGAAAATATCATAGCTGGATGTAAGGTTTGGGGGCCATAGTCCTTTATTTACAGTTAGTAGGTTCTGTTCCAGACTTTTAACATCTATTGGTTGCACATGAGTTCAAAGCTGATCTAATTTTCTTTTGTAAGTTGTTTCTTCCTAAAAACATATATGATTTTTTTTTTTTTTTTTTTTTTTTTTTGCGGTACAGGGGATCGAACTCACAACCTCACACTTGCCAGGCAGGCACTTATTCCGCTGAGCTAAATCCCCAGCCCCAATATGTATGATTTTTAAAAATTTATTTTTTTTAGTACAGGGGATCAAACTAACAACCTTACACATGCCAGGCAGGTAGGCACTTTGCCACTAAGCAATATCCCCAGCCCCAGTATGTATGATTTTTTTTTTTTCATTCAGGAATTTTATCAGAATGTGACTACATAGCTACCTTTGGACTTTCAATATCCAGGTAACTCTTTTTGCTGCTAAGGGAAATGTTTCAGGTATTTGTTTACTTCAGTCCTCCTTGTGTTCCTTTTTCTCCTTTCAGATTCCCAGTTACTCACGTGCTGTTTTCCTGCCTCTGTCCTTTAAGTCTCACATTTTCTATTTCTGCTCAGAGTTTTAAAATGGCTCTGCTAGATCTTCTGCTTACTGGGTCTCAGCAGTTAGCCATCTTCTTTTTGCCATTATTTCATCAGTTAAACTTCCTTGATGTAGAAGATTGCAGGGCGATATTGTGGGTTTTTTTGGTTTTGGTTTTTGTATTTGGTTTTTGTCTTTGTTTGCTTGTTTGTTTGTTTGTTTTGAGACAGGATCTCACCTATATGGTTCAGGATGGCCTTGAATTCACTAGGGAGCTCAGGCAGGCCTCAACCCTCCGGGCCCAGCCTCCTGAGTGCTGGGATTACATGTGCCACCACACATGGATCAAAAATCATAGTTTCAGTTCTAACAACTATCTTTGTCTTATAATTGAGCTTCTTTAATTGCCCGTATTTTAATTTAAATTGTCATCTCTTTTAGTGGTTCCATTAATCTAAGATTTACTACCTCAAAGAGTTCCGAAATGTTTTTCTTCCCTCTTACTATAGGGTCCCTCTAAGCAGTTACCTTCCATTCCTGCTCATAAATCCAACCAGTCCCTCAGGCAGGGGACAACAGGAGCCTCTGGACTATCAATATGTGGTGCCCATGGGTGTCATTACTCCTTAGCCAGGCTTCATGGCATCCATGCCAGGCATTTTCCTAACCTATAATGCACATTTTGAGCATCTTCCCTTCCCTTGCTTCCTGGAACCACAGAGACCAGGAGATTTCCCCCCAAGAAACTTCACAGAGACCAGCAGTGCCCTTCTCAGGATTGATGAAGTCTCAGCCTCAGCCCACACTTGCAAATACGTCTGGTCATAGCCACTGGGTTCAGGAGTGCTCTTTGTATTGTGAGTAGAGACAGCCAGATCGCACTGTGGTCATCATCTTTTCAGAAATGCCCAGCAACGTGAGGAAAAAAGAGAGCATGACCACACTAATTGATATCTAAGTCTCTATCCAGTGCATTTTACAGTTGTACACATTTATGGTCTCTAGCTTCTGCTCAATCCTCAGTACCCTTGGGCCATACTTTTTATGTCTTCCCAGGATGCTCTGCTTCCCCAAAGGGAATGTTTGAGACTTAGTTCTCTCATCAAGCCTTGTGTTTACACCCCATCATGTCCACTATTGGTCCATGACTGAATTTCCCCTCACAGAGAAAAGACTTAAGCGTTATATTGTTTATCTTCCTTATTTACCTATAAACCTGTCTTCTTCACCTACCTGTCCTGCCATCCATCTTTCCCTCCTGCTAGAACCTCTTCTCCCATGATTTCTGTGATAGTGTGTGCTCATAGTTCTCCCACTTCTCTGGACACTTGCTTTTGATCTTTCTCGTGCTGATCCTTCGTCCATCCTACTGGCTAACAGGGCATCTTTTCAGTGCATAAAGTTGATCATATCACCCCCTCCATATCTTAAAATGTCTCAATGACAGTAACAAGCAAAAGGATCTGTAGGGATGCAAATCAGAAGTCTGGAGGAAATGAGAATTAATTACAGAAGGGCTTGAGGAAGTCTTTTCAGGTGCTAGAAGTATTCTGTGTCTTGCTTTGGGCAGTGCACATGGGTCTAGTCATGAATAAAAATTCATTGAGCTCTACATTAAGGTAGTACATCTTATTCAATGTATACTTCAGCTTTAAAAGATAAAATCTTTTCTCACTACCACAGGCTCTAAATTCCTTAAATAGCCCATAGATTCCTGTTCATTTCTCCCCCAAATTAAGGTGTAAGCATCTTCTTGTGGAACCTGTCCTGGCTTTCCCAGGTATGTAACTCTTCCATACTCACATAGGACCTCTAAGCTTAGGCCTATCCTAATCATTTGGAGCCTGTTTCGTAATTCTGCGTGCACTTCCTTCATTAGAATGGAGGTCCTGAAGGATAGGAACCATGTCATTTGGTTTCTTTGCTCTCCTAAGACTTTAGGCAGTGGCTGGCACGTGGCCCCCATAAATGTCAACTGAATGAACGAGTGAAAGTTCACTTTGTATTTGCTTTGAGTTTGACCCTCTTTAATGAAGTATCTTTCCTCAGCCTGCAGGATGTTTCCTCAGTGAGAAGAAGGCTATTGCACAATGGCAGTATTTGATACTCCGCAGGAGGCCTTCGGCGTCCTACGTCCAGTCTGTGTTCAGCTCACGAAGACACAGACGGTGGAGAATGTGGAACATTTGCACACACAGTTACAAGCTGTGAGTGATGCTGCACTTCAGGAACTTCAGCAGTACATCCTCTTCCCCTTACGATTTACCTTGAAGACCCCAGGTCCCAAACGAGAGCGCTTGGTCCAAAGTGTGGTGGAATGCCTCACGTTTGTCCTGTCTTCAACATGTGTGAAAGAGCAAGAGCTTCTTCAGGAACTCTTTTCCGAACTCTCTGCGTGTTTATACTCACCCAACTCCCAGAAACCTGCTGCTGCGTCAGAGGAATTGAAATTGGCAGTGATCCAGGGACTTAACACCTTAATGCACTCAGCTTATGGCGACATCATTCTGGCCTTTTATGAGCCCTCCATTCTGCCTCGTTTAGGATTTGCTGTATCTTTACTGTTAAGCTTGGCAGAACAGGAGAAATCAAAGCAAATTAAAATTGCTGCCTTAAAATGTTTACAGGTTCTGCTCTTTCAGTGCGATTGTCAAGACCATCCTAGGTCTTTAGATGAGCTTGAGCAACAGCAGCTGGGGGATTTGTTTGCTTCTTTTTTACCTGGAATCTCAACTGCACTGACCAAGGTTATCAGAGGAGACTTTAAACAAGGTCACAGCATTGTAGTATATTCCCTAAGGATCTTTTACAAGACAGTGGGCTTTGTTTTGGCTGATGAACAGCTCGGAAGAATCTCAAAGGTCCAACCAAAGCCTGCAGTTGAGCAAAGAATTGCAGAGCTGATGGTTCACAGAGAAGGAGAATGGGTAAAAAATACTGGTGACAAGTTGGCGATCCTTATTAAGAAGATAATTGAATGTGTTTTGGTTCACCCACACTGGAAGGTCAGGCTCGAGCTGGTGGGCCTTGTGGAGGACCTTCTTTTGAAATGCAATCAATCTCTGGTTGCTTCTGCTGGTCCCCTCCTGAAGGCTTTAGTGGGCCTCATAAATGATGAGAGTCCTGAAGTCCAAGCCCAGTGCAATAATGTTCTGAGACACTTTGCAGATCAAAAAGTAGTGGTAGGCAACAGAGCTTTTACTGACATCTTGTCAGAAAGCCTGCATTCCCTTGCTACATCCCTTCCTCGTCTCATGAACTCCCAGGATGATCAGGGTAAATTCTCTACTCTCTCCTTGTTACTTGGTTATCTGAAACTCTTGGGCCCCAAAATAAACTTTGTCCTCAACTCTGTGGCCCATCTCCAGCGACTTTCCAAAGCACTCATCCAAGTCCTCGAACTAGATGTTACTGACATAAAAATTGTTGAAGAGCGGAGTTGGAATTCTGATGACCTGAGTGCTTCTCCAGGGGCCTCCACTGCAAGGCACGGATACCAGATCCAGAGAAGATATTTCCGCTTCTTCACTGATGAGAGAGTTTTTCTGCTCTTGCAACAAGTTTGTCAGCTTCTTGGGTATTATGGGAACCTTTATTTGCTTGTGGATCACTTTGTGGAACTATACCATGAGTCTGTGGCTTACCGGAAGCAAGCTGCCATGATCCTTAATGAACTGGTTACAGGGGCTGCTGGGCTGGAAGTAGAGAATATTCATGAAAAGCATATTAAAGCAAGCCCAGAGGAACTGAGAGAAATTGTAACATCTTTACTTGAAGTATACACTAGCCAAGAAAACTGGTATTTGGTTACCTGTGTTGAAACTGAAGAGGGAGAGGAGCTAATGATGAAACAGCCAGGCATCCAAGCCATCCCATCTGATGTACACACCTACCAAATTTTATCTTTTCCAGCCTTCTCAAAACCAAGTCCCACTATTTGCTCCATGAACAGCAACATCTGGCAAATATGCATTCAGTTGGAAGGGATTAGCCGCTTTGCATACGCACTAGGAAAAGACTTTCGTTTGCTCTTGATGTCTGCCCTCTATCCAGTACTAGAGAAAGCTGGAGATCAAACCCTGCTCATTAGTCAGGTGGCTACCAGCACCATGGTAGATATTTGTGTTGCTTGTGACTATGATTCCTTGCAAGACCTGATCAATCAAAATTCAGACTATTTGGTGAATGGTATCTCCTTAAATCTCCGCCATCTATCCCTGCACCCTCATACCTCAAAGGTTTTGGAAGTCATGCTGCGAAACTCAGATGCTACCCTGCTTCCTTTGGTGGCAGATGTGGTTCAAGATGTCTTGGCCACCCTGGACCAGTTTTACAATAAGAGAGCTGCTTCCTTTGTCAGCGTTCTGCACGCCCTGCTGGTAGCATTAGGTACATTGAAAACCCTTTTTTTTTTTAATGTTGATTTGGGGAATAGTACTCAGTATCCTAGGTTGCCTAATTGTAGTTGTTTTTTTAGCATTTGTGGTTATGCTGTGAAGAATATTTGAAAGGCTTTCTCTTCAGTCCCACATTATGGTGTGGTTCCATTGTTTATTTTTTATGCTTTCAATAATCTGCTATTTATTGAGCACTGACTTTGTGCCAGGGATATAAACCTTTTGGGCTAAATATCAACATTATTTTTATTTTACAAATAAGAAAAGCTAAGGCTCAATGAGATCCTGCTTAGCCAGGGTCATAAAATACGGGATAAAGTCAGGATTTATGACAATTTTATTCTTTCCAATATACAAGATTGCTGCTGCTGATACTTAGAGTTAGTATCTATGCTAATGGAGAACAGAAATAACATGAATTATTCATTCCACAGATGGTTAGAACAGTACTGTCCAACAGAACTTTCTGTGATGATAATAATACTCTATATAAATCTGTTCTGTTCAATACAATAGTTACTAGCTACATGTGCCTAGTACTATTGGGGAATTGAATTTTCAATTTTGTTGAATTTTAGTACCCACATATAGCAACATGTAGCCATATGTATTATATTGGACAGAGCAAAGTTCTTTTTAACCTAGTTGTGTGACGTGATATGCATTTCTCATCTTCCATTTGCTCTTCTTAAGTGCCTGGTGGAGATGCTAATGCATTATCAGAATGGCAACATTTTCAGTGAGCAAAAGGATCTCACCTGGACAATCAAACAATGAGCTATGTAGCTGGGTGCCTTTTATTCAAAAAGCCTGTCTGCAGTATTTACTTCAGTACTGTTAATAGCCTCTGAGACAGGTAGAAAAGTCGTTTACCTCATTTCATCAGATAAAAAAGCTAAGAACATATATAAGAAAGGTTCTCAGGGAAGGTGTCTGGGACACGGACTGTGCTCTGTCCTGTGGCTGATGCTATTTCCAGTGTTCTTCATTCACTCCCAAACATTTACAACAGCACAAATGTCCTCTTACTCATTCAAAAAAAAGAGTGCCTGCCATGTGTCAGATGCTGTGCTGAGTAATAAGGTACAGCAGTGAACAAGGTAAATAAACTTAGGGAATTTTCTTCCTACTGCAAGAGAGATAATAAACAAGTAAACAAATCATTAAACAAGCTCACTCCAGACTCTGATAAGCACTGAGGGAAATAAATGCCTTGATGCACACAAGTAACAAGGATACCCACTTTAAACTAAGTGGTCAGGAAAAATAAGAAGGTCCTTGTGTGCGTACAGGGCTGTCACATTGTTTCTACAGTTTGTTAGAACATTCAGGCAAAGGGAGCCATAGGTTCCAAGGCCCTGAGGAAAGGAAAGGGGGTGAGGATACTTGGAGAATGGAAAAGAGATCGTTTTAGAGAGAACGGTACAAGATGAAATTGCAAAAGATGACAAATCTTGCGTGGCCATACAGGCCAGGGGAAGGAGTTTGAAATTAACTTTGCAGTCACTCACAAGCCTGTACCATGGCTAACAGGCAGTGAGGAGGCAGCTGTTTAGAAGACTCACCAGGGCCTGCCCTCATGGAGCCCCTTCTCAGACTGGCTGGCCACTGAGGCATAGCAGACTGAGACTGACTTCCATGGACCAAACAGACCAGCCTTACTGCTTTGAGGAACTATACTACCTTTCAATTTGAGATTTAAACAAATTCAGAAAGCCTATGAAATGCCTCCTCTTGGGAAATGCCTCAATTTAAGTGTTGAAAATTGAATAGCCTTAGATTCTGGTGTCTTTGGTCATCTCTGAAGGAAATTATGTAATCCTGTATAGTGCTTTTTTGTTTTAAATTGAGGAAGGAGAGTCTTACAGAAGGAAACAAGATGGTTAAAATTTACTCTGGAACGTCCTAGGAAAACAGGCAGAATTGGAAATAGCTCTTCGATAAGTTTTGAGATAACCCAGAATACACTTACATTTTGAATAAACAGTAATTATAATTAGTAAAGTTGATACACTTACAAATGAAAGTAGGACTTTATACTGGCATTTGTTTGTTATCTCACTGATCAGTTGTCCAACTAATGAACTCTTTTAAAATGAGAATGAGTGGAGCATGATGGTACATGCCTCTAATCCTAGCACTTGGGAGGCTGAGGCAGGATAGCCTCCAGTTGTATCACAGCTGCCAGCCTGAACTATATAGCCAGACCCTGTCTTTAAATAGATAAATAAATTTAAATAAAGTAAATAAAATGAAAATGGAAGTGTATTGTCTGAGGTCTTAAAGCTCAGTGCATGATTAAGGAAATTAAGTTATCATGCACACAGTGTTTCACATGTATCAACTAAGAAAGCAAGAACCACCAGGTAACCCAGCATGGTGGTGCAGGCCTATAATACTAGCCACTTAAGGCTGAAGCAGGAGGATTACAAGTTTGAGAATAGCTTGGGCAACTTAGACTCAGACTTAAAAATGAAAAAAAAAATAATAATAATAAGGGGTGAGGTTATAGCACGTACATCAAGGGCTACTGAGTTTTTTATGGCTACTTCATATCTCACTGTGGCTGCACCATGGTTTACTTAATCAGTCCTGTCTTGGTAGGTGTTTTGGTGGATTCCAGACTTTTGCCACCACACACACACAAATTCAATGAATATCCTTGCAGGTCTTTTTAACATACCTCTATGTATCAGTAGGATAAATTCCTGAAAGAAACGGTGGTTTAAAAGGGTATTGCATTTTAAATTTTGATTGAGAGTATCAAATTACTCTGCTAAGAGGCTGTACCAATTTAAACTCCATCAGCAGTATGAAAGAGTGCCAGGTTTGCCACACCCTCACCCATACTGTACATTACCAAGCTTTTGATCTTTGCTAATGCAATAAGAGAAAAACAGCACCTTATTATAGTTTTAATTTACATTAAAAGTGGGGTTGAGCTTCTTTTCATATGTTTAAAAGCTGTTTGTGAGCAAAGATATTTTAATGTCTGGCCCTAGCCTGAATCTAGAAATGATCTTTACACAGTGTCTAATCCTAGCCATGTAAGTGCAGGGTCCAGTTTTTAACTGTCTGGCAACAGGTCCCTTAGAGTACACTGAGTATTTGATTTACACCTGGGAATGGTGCATTGAAGAAATATCATAATTGATCCCTGTGTACAGGAACCTCCAGATATTGGATTGAAAGCTCTCATCTCAGATATTTGTTCTTAGCTACTCCCAATTGCCTGGCCCCATCATTTCCCATCTGCCATTACTTTGGCTCTGTGCAGACACTCCTTGAAGAGACAGAGGGAGATGAGCAGGTGGTAAAGATCATCAAAGCCTCTTTCTCTGCTGTCTACAAATAGAGGGTGCTGGACCCTCTATTTGGATAGCAATTTAAGTATTGAAAGCCATTCTTGAAATGAAGTTTTGAAAGGACCCAGGATACAGGAACAGTTGAATTAGAGCTGCTATATTAGGAATAGAGACTCTGGGACACCCTCTCCCCCTTTGCCTGCTGCCTCTTTCTATCCTCCCGGTGGAGATCCCTGAGACCCCTCAAGGCACAATGTGAAAACCACTTGAGTCTGCAATGTTTAAAGCTTATTCTGTGATGACATATCAAAGGTATTAGAACATCACCAAAGGGAGAGCTTTGGAGAGAATATGGCTAGCTTTCTGAAACATTTTATATTAGAAATATAGCATGCGACTGTCCATTCTTAAAGTTCTGTAGTCTGTCTTCCACTAAATGAGTAGATATCCTGTACTCAGAATTTGCCACTTTACCTATTCTCCAATCTCATGTATTTTTTAATTCAGCATATAATTTGAGCACTCATACTATGCTGAGTATGTTGAAGTATAGAGTCTAATGGAAGATTAAAGTGCCAAGAAGTATACACAAAATGTACAGCTACAGGGGCTGGGGATTTAGCTCAGCAGCATAAGCACCTGCCTTACAAGCAGGCGGTTGTGAGTTCCATTCCCGGTACCGATAAAAATGAAAAAGACAAAAAAAAAAAAAAAATGTACAGCTACAAACTGTAATGAGTTAATAGGAAAGGAATGAGCTTAGTACTGTGTAGCGCGACCTTGCCTAAGTTAGGCGCAGGACTGAAAGGATGGCTTACTGGGCAAGGTCTAATTAATTGTACTGAGACATGAAAAGTAATTTCCAGTTAGCTAGTTATAAATGAAGGGGGGAAACACTTCAGAAAGGCAAGTACAGCATATGTAAACTTTGGAGGCAGGAAAATTCTCAGTACATTCGAGGAGCTAAAAGATAGTAAATAATCAGGTAGCTAAAGTAGAAGATGAATTCGAAGATGAAGCAGAGTAGATGGTGTAGAGGCCACACAGGCCGTGGCAAAGAGCTTGTTCTGTTTATAAAGCACTAATGCTGGTTATTAATGAGCAAGGTGATCATTTTAACATTTTATCTACAGCCCAGTGGTTCCCAGAAACAAGTTACATTGAGCAACCCCAAGATCAAAGTTTAAAGGAGGGAAGTTGTTTGCACCAAACTCTTGGGAGTAACAGTACAGCTGAAGACATTGAACGGTTTGTGCTGGACTACCTTAGAGAGAAGGATGTGGCAGAGGGAAATGTCATGGATTTTGACAGTGATGAAGGTAATTATTATTTATTTTGTTTTAGTTATTTCTTTCTTTTTAAAATAGACTTATAAAAACAGGGAAGCATCATTCCAGAAAGTTCAAAAATTTCAAAAAGTCACTCAATCCCACTGTGCTGACATAGCCATTCTCATTTTTTGTGTAATATTTTTCCATTCTTTTTTGGTGTAAAGCTGTCTTTACATAATTGCAGTCATAGTTTTGTTTTGTTTTGTTGTGTGGTGCTGGGGATGGAACAAGGGCCTAACGCTGTCGGCAAGCTCACTACCATTGAGCTACACCCCCAGCTCTCTGCAGCCCAGCCATAGCATCATACTTTTTGTGTCTGGTTATAAACAATGCTCCACGTTGCTCTAGCAGTTTCATAATTAGTGATTTAATAGTTGTTACTAAGTATGTACTCTCCCTCAGGAAGTTTTTGTTGCTTCTAGCTTTCACTATAGGAAACAGTGCTGCAGTGGATTATCCTGTCCGTGGGAGCTTTTCCTCCTCCTGGCTTTTTTTTTTTTTTTTTTTTTTTTTTTTTTTGGTACTGGGAATCAAACTCACAACCTAGCGCTTGGCAGACAGGTGCTTTTGCCACTGAGCTAAATCCCCAGCCCCTGGCATATTTCTTTATAAATTTCCAAAAGTGAGATTTGTAGATCAAGGATAGGAACAATATTTATTGTGTGCAAAATTGCCTTCTAATAAGGTGGTATTGATTTATACCTTCCCTTCAGCAGAACAGGATTAATACTGGTTTCACCACAACCTTGGTGAAATCAAGGTAAAAGTAAAATTACCAATTTTACATTTCCTAAATTACAAATTTAAAAAATTACTCTCATTATCTTACTTTGCATTTTTATAATTACTGGCAAAATCGAACCTGTTTCTATTTCTGCATGCTTTTTTTTTTTTTTTTTTTTTTTTTGAGATGGGACCTTGTTTTGTAGTTCATACTGGCCTCAAACTCACTTTGTAGCCCAGGCTGGCCTTGAACTCCTAGCAGTCCTGCCTCAGCACCCCTGGACCCCTGGGATTACAGGCATTCAGCACCACACTTGGCTTCTACATACTTATTTTCTTTTTTCTGGCCTTAGGCTCATTGTTTATTAATATGCTTTGTCTATTTATTTATTGCTAAGAAGAGATTCCAGTGTTTTTCTTACCCATTTATATGATAAAGGAAAAGAGTTCAGGCTAGTAGCAGCTCTGGCCTCTTGTTTTATTCACAGACTCAATCTGGAGCTTCAGGTCAGGGAAGGATTAATAAATTATTAGAATCTCCTCTGCAAGTATAAAATGCCAAGTCATAATGAGCTTGGTGGTCCCAGAACTATCCTAAATTGAACTGAGTCCCAAATTAGTTTGTTAGGTTGAAATTGAGCAGATTTCTTTTTTTTTTTTTCTCCCCCACCCCCAATCTGTACTCTCAGATTCTAGTGAACTAAAGCCATACTTTCAGGATAATAGGATAGTAGTGTTGTATGGCTTGTGTCTATATGTGCCTTCAAAGCCTCATGCAGTCATAGGTGGGGCTTTTTCAGAGGTGACTGAATCTAGAGTGTATGGCACTGGAATTGATTCATTGTACAATGCTAGGCGCAAGAGCACTAGGATTAAGGGTGTAAGTGCTATTCCCCTTAAGTAGCCTGGATAAGATAAGAAGGGCAGAAAGATGCTGTTAAGCTCCCTTGTTGCTTTTGCTACCTCGTGGGTGCCATGAATTGTTCTCTGCAATGCCCCTCTACCAGGCTGCCCAGCCTTGGATCCAGTTGATTATGGACTGAAACCTCTACAAACTGAAAGCTAAATAAGCCTTTCCTCACTTAATTTGTATGTGGTGGGTATTTTGTCTCAGCAACAAGAAGAGTAACAAAGACAAGTAAATTGTTGCATTAACTACAATCAATTGTTTCTAAATAGCAGTGAAGCATCACAGGTCTAAATAATGATTGATGTACAGTTGAGTCATTACTGTCCCCACAGACAGAATTTTCTTGATTAGAAATCTGTTGGGTTTTTTATTCTCAGGTTTGTTTTGTGACACAACCAGATTTTTTTTTTTTTAACCAGGATTCAAACTCACAACCTCACATTTGCCAGGCAAGCAATTATGCCACTGAGCTATATTCCTGGCCCAGGACGTTCTGTTTCTTGTGAATGTTGGCTCAAAGCAGACTCAATGAATCAAACCCTCTTCCAAAATCAAAATCCACATCTCTCAAATAACATTCTGCAATTGGTAAATTTCAAATGACAAATCTTTCTCTAGGAAAAAAAAAAAACATAGCTCTGTCATTCATATAATTATCATTCATCAAATATAAACCATGTTCTTGGCATTATAGAGAATGTTTGGCTTGATATTGGATTGATGTGAGTGTTTTAACCACACAAAAGTACCTTCTATATCTGAGATCCTTTTCTCCAAGAAATCCAAGCATTCTGCAAATGCATTTTCTCTTTATCTTTTCAGCACCTGTTAGAGACAGGTGCAGCCTCTATTGTAAGATTCTGTTTTTCCAGCAAAGGAAACTAAAATGAGAAAAAAATTAAGGGAACAACACTCAGCTCAGTAGAAATGAGCACAGCTGGTAATTAAGGGTTTAGGGACAGCGATAGGGGATATAAGCAGAGGAAAATTTTTCAAGATAGTTTTAGGCCTGGGTTTCATATAGCTCTTGTCTTTCTGGTGCTTTTAAAGTTACAAGCTTATATCTATCTCATACAACACAGTTCTCTGGGTGGTGAGAAAATGGTAATTGCTGCATTATTCTTCACATTTAATCCTCTCCACAAGGAGATGAGACATATACTTAGTGTATTCTAGCCAGATGAGGTAATGCAGGAGAAGTTGCTTATAGGTTGTGGAGATCAAACTTGTATTGATCTCTGACCAAGCCTTATTTGCTTTGCACTATACCAGGCTGCCCTGGTCTCCTGTCTCATACAAAGATGAATGAGGCTTAATACTGGCCACCAAAAGATGTTAAAGGCTGGCAAAGAAGACACATGTCAGAGGATGAAGTGTAAGAAAAGCATGGAAGTTGGAAAAAAGCTAGTTGAGGAAGGACCCAACCTCAGGATTCCAAACTAGAACTCTGCCCTTTGTATGTTTTTTTTTCCTTAATATATTTCTATTTTAAGTATTCATTAGTTGAAATTTAGAAAAGACCAAAAGTATAGGAAAAAATTTTAAATCATATATTATCTTATACTCCTGTCACTGTTGACATTGTATTATACTTCTTCCTATGTAAAAATTTATATAATACTCATACTGCATATGCAATTTTGTACCACATTTTTTCTTTTCAACACAATATAATTTCATAAGCATTTTATCTTGTCATTAAAACCCTAACTAAGCATATGAATTTAGGAACCTTATAACTACCATTTAATGGATGTACCATAATTTATATACCCATTTCCCTTTCAGTGGACTGTGTACCCTTTGAGGGAATAGAGAACAAAGTAGCTAAGACTGGATAATTTATAAAGAACAGAAGTTTATTTTCTCACACTTCTGAGGCTGCGAATTTTAAGATTAAGGTGCTGGCAGTTTCAGTTACCTGGTAAGGGTTGATCTCTGCTTCCAAATGGTATGTTTTTACTGTGTTCTCTCTAGGGAGGAGCATTGTGTTCCCAATGGTAGAAGGCAGAAGAGTAAGCAAGCTTTTATTGAGGCCTTGATCCCATTCACATGGGGAACAGCTCTGTGGCTAAGAATCTCTTACCTGTTCCAACTCCTGCTGCTGTCACATTGGATATTTCAACACTAGAATTTTGGAAGGGGACACATTCAGCCATAGAAGACAGTTCTTCCCAATTTGTAGCTGGTACAGCTATTGCTGCCATAAACATCTGGACTTGTACAGCTTGGCCCAAATTTCAGATGGTTTCCTTAAAATCCTTTCCTAGACATTTTCTTCTCAGTCCTGTTCTTAAACCAGGAGCTCAGGATCAAGCTGGGTTGGAACACCTCTCATAAAATACTGTTACCAGTTATGCTCTTCTTGCAGAACTATCAGTCCCTCCAAAATTGGATGAGAATGACACACTTCCAGATACAGAGCCACCACTGCCAGTGCAGATCCAGATAGCCAAAGACGTGATGGAACGCTGCATCCACTTGTTGTCAGATAAAAACCTAAAGATCCGCCTGAAGGTCAGTTGCATTCCCTTCTTTGCAGTCATACAGCAGCAAGACTAAGTGTGGTCCACTTGGCAGTGACTACACGGGTGAACATGCAGCTTTCCATATCTCCTGATCATGTGTGGTGGCCAGGAGAATGCATAAAGAGGAGTTTATCTGTGAGATGACACTTTTACGTCTTCCTTTACCGACTCAGATGCCAAAAGGGAGCTGATTTTGATGAAAAAACACTTAAGTTTTGAGATATATTGACTGTCCGGGGGAAAGAAAATATATGCTTTGAAAGAAGTCATTATCTGTGCTGACTTAATGCAGAATGCAGATTTTAATAGTTGGAGGTAGTCATTCTTCCCTATCAACCCTTATCTCTGTCTCTATTTCTATTTTCATCCTAGGAAAAACCCCACCATTTTTCATGATATCACTTTCTCATTTGCAGCAGTTTGCTGAGCAAGCACCCCATCAACAAGGGCTTCAAAGACACAGTGACTCAGTAACATGCCAGTGTGGTAAAATGGTAGTAGGGGCCAGGTTTTTCAGAAATGCTCCAGTGACCTTATGTCCAAAGGAAAAACTGCCTTCCTCCCCATCCCTAAGGAGGAGGGAGAAACAACTTAGTTACTCATCAGTGGCCATAGGAGCACATTGCCTTGCTCAGGGATGGGGGCCACGGTAGGAAACACTGATCCACAGATCATCTCAGGCCTCAGGTTTGCACTGCAGAGCTTGTTTAGTCTTCCAGAGACATCTGTTCCGTTCAGCAAGCACTTTTTGAATGCTCGTTAAATACAAGGCTTTAATATAGGTACCTGATTGATAACATTTAGCAAACTCCTAAATAGCCTTTAAGATCTTCCTTGTTACATGGGTTTTGTGGCAGCGGTAGTCTTTTTTTTTTTTTTTTTTTTTTTGGTCTTTTTCGTTTTTATTGGTCCAGGGATCGAACTCATGACTGCCTGCTTGCAAGGCAGGCGCTTATGCCGCTGAGCTAAATCCCCAGCCCCCTTAAATTTTTTTTTTTTTGTCTTTTTCTTTTTTTTATCGGTACCGGGGATCAAACTCAGAACTGCCTGGTAGTCATTAAGAACATCAGTACTGGAGTCAGACCCACAAACCTAAATTCAAATCTTTGAGCCAAAGATTACACCTGTAATTCGAGCACTCGGGAGGCTGAGACAAGAGAATTGCTGAGTTCAAGGCCATCCTGGACTACATAATGAGTTCAAGCCAAGCCTGAACTACCTACTGGGCCAGGTATTTGGCTCAGAGGGATAAGCCCCTGCCTGGCAAGCGTAAGATCATGAGTTCAATCCCCAGTTACCCCCCCACCTCGTCAAAAAAAACCCCACAAAACTAAGTTTAAGTCTTTGTCCTGCCCCTTACTAGCCATGTGATCCTAGTAAAGTTAGTTCACCATGTTAAGCCTTAGCATCTTTACATGTAAAGTGGAGATGAGGATACGTGCCTCACAGATCATTGGTTACAAAGACAAAATAGCAGAAGGTATGGTATATGCACTCATTCATTCACTAAGTGCTGTTGAAGATTTCTGCAAGCCAAGCAGAAGGGCTTGTAGAAGGAAATGCTGCAGGCAGGATCCCTATCTTTGTGGAACTTCTTGTCTGTTATGGGAAGAAAGGCAACTCAAAAACACACATCCACATCAGGTTAATACTGTGAAGGTACTGAGCAGGTGCTCAGATGATAGAAGATAGTAATTAGTAAAAGACACATTGCCATTATTACTCCTCAAAATATTTAGCCTTGCTTTGAACATAGTTACCCCATCATTCCTGTTGCTTTCTGAATCACTTCTAGAAGTCTTTTATGTCTTTAGTTGTGCCATTGTGGATGCCTCCATGTCCTGAATCAATTAAAAATGTGTATTTTCCTGGTCATTTTGACCTTGGAGAAGAGCCAGAAGTCTCTTGGTACCAGATCTGGGATATAAAGTGGATGAAGACACACTACAATTTTTTTTTAGCCCACCTTTCCATTGGATAGCACTGGTTTTTTGGTTTGGTTTGGTTTGGTTTGGTTTGAGGAATTCCAGAACCACTTCAGAAAATGGAAAAAATGATGGGGTGTTTTTGAAGAGAGGAGGAATATTTTGAGAGGGGTTCATGGCAATGTGTCTCTTACTATAATAAATTTTTAAAAATTTAAACATTAACCATATATTTCAATTACCTTTTGTTCTCTTTAGCAAACCATGAACAAGACAGAGCTTACATTCTGATTTAGACTAGGTGGTCTTAGAAGACCTCTCCAAGGTGGTAACATTTCTAAAGGTTGAGGAGCCAGCCATGCAAAGGGACACAGGCAGGGAGAAGAGTAAGCGGAGGGGAAAATGTGCACCGTTGAATCGGCAACATCTAGTACAGCTTGTCCAGTTAGTGACAAATTCAAATTAATGTCAGCCGGTGGTATCCAAGCCACTTTCAGGACACTGCTCTGCTCTTCACAGTACTGCTGAACATTCTCTTATTTCCCTGCCTATGAGTCATCTCCCAAGGAAAGGGGCTCTTCTGGTTAGCGTTTCTGTTCCCATCTGCATAGACCAGTGCATAGAAACCTCCCAGTAAAGCTTCGTGTTGGCAGACTTCACTCTTCCTTTCTGACTCCAGTGTGCCCCTCACATACCCTGGGAAGGCTAGGTCGTCCTTGTGAAGCCTGCATCGGTAGTCATATCACCACTACCTACGATATAGATAGGTTCAGTGCGCTTCAGGATGTGAGATACCTGGAAATAAATCCTCAAGGAAGGTGAAAAGTCAGTTTATGTGTTGGCCAGCCCAAACCTTTCTTGGGAGGTTGGCCTGTACCTCAGCTGCCTGCTTGGCCTCTCCAGGTAGCAGTCACAGGACTCGAATCTTACCCAGCCCTTCTGCTTTTAACTCTTCCATCAGTTGCACCTCATTCCATGACACTGCCTCCCTTCATTTGCTGTGCCTTGACACTTGACACTCACCCACTTGACACTCACCCCCCCCATATCCATTCATGCCACATTTAAGTCATTTCATCTCAAAACAGATCTCAGGTCCTTTCATTTTTCGATCTCCCGCAACATCATGCAGCCACGTCACTTTGCTCCTGTCATGTAGACATGTGCTGTGGCCTGCAGGAGGGCTGCCTCATTTCTGTCTCCCTCTTGAAGTCCCTTCTCCTCTCAGCAGCCAGAAAGACCTTCTTAAAACATGAATCATATCATGTCACATCACTTCTCATTTGGGTGACTTCCCACTGACTTAGTGCAAAATAAAAAGACCCAACATAACCCCATCCAGGCTCAGCCCTGTCTCACCCTGTCTTAGTTACTTTTTACTTGTCGCTGAGACAAAATACCTAAAGCCCAAAGTTGGGAAAGGAAAGGTTTATTTCTTACAGTTTTTGGAGGTTTCAGTCCACATTCAGTTGACTCCAAGGCAGGCAGGCATGGCTGGGGTGCAGTTCATGGCGGCTGCAAACAACAAAGCGGGAACCAGCAAAAAGCAAGACACACCTCCCTCCTGCCATTACATCACATCTTGGCTCCACCCCTTTGTGAGTGGAGCACTGACACCATCAATCCAAGCACTGGACAATGAACGAATAACAAATGCACAATGCAAACTCATGAGGCCTGGGGGCCACAAACATAAACCATGACATTCCACCCCTATCCCCAGGACTCATGTACATCATTTATACAAAAGACATTTAGTCCACCTCTAAGAGTTACCAAAGTCCAAAATTTCAACATTGCTAAAAAGTCCAAGTCCCAAGTCTCCTCCAAGATCTATGGCAAACTCTTAACTGTAACCGCCTGTACAAATGAAATAAGGTTAAACATTTCTGAAATGCAAAGGCACAAGATAAACATTACCATTCCAAAAGTTACAAACAGGGGAATATAAAGTATTGGAAACAAAGCAAGTCCAACATCCAGCAGGACGAACATTAAGTCCTAGAGTTCCATGCTCAGCATCTGAAGCAATCTGGTTACAAGCTCCAAAAGGCTTGAGTGATTCCACCCCTGCACTTCCAGGGATATCAGCTCCCGCAGCTTCTCTCTTAAATCCTCTCTGCTTGCTTTTTGCAGCTTTCCTTGGATCACCCACGTTCCTGGCTTTTCCAAACTTCTGGGGTCTCCACTGCACCTTAGGCTTCACCTTTACGTCTTCACAAATTGCCCTCCCAGGGGCACACTGCTTGGCCTCCCAGGCCCTTTGCAATCGAAGTGGAAGCCGTCTTACCCTCAGAATTTGTGCATTTTCCTTGCATCTAAAATCAGCACCTTGTGGATACCACCAAGGTCTGCTGGAGCCAGTAGCCAGGCTTTTCTCTCTCTTGGCTGTAGGGGTCGGTTGCCTGGATCGCAGGGCTATGTTTGCCTGATTGTGAGAAAAAGCTTTTCTACATTGCCGCCATTCTGGAACCTCACGCGGCCTCTGTTGCCATTCTGGAGCATGGCGCTGTGCAGCTTTTTCCTCTGAGCAAATTGTTTCACCTTTGCAGTGAGGCTGCAAAGGGTGGGGACCCGCTTCCTGGGATGCCCTTTCTTATCTCTGTTTCCCCTCAGGAATCAAAATCTCAACTCTGTCTTTATAATCCACAGCCTTCCTGGAATTTTCCTTCTGGCCAAACTCACAGTATTGGAAATTATCCTGCTAGGCTCTTTGCTCTTGATTGGAAACATAAAGCTGGCTGAAAGCCCCCAACAATAGCCATGCCACAGCCTCAATGTTTGATTGCTTTTTAATTTCTTTTTCAAGATTACCATTGCCCTTTGTCTCAGTCTCAGGCAAAGTCTCTGGGCAGGAGCAAAATGTAGACAAACTTTCTGCCAAGCCATAACACACATGATGGGGAGTCCAACAACCAATGCAGTCCTTCTTCCCAGCAGAAACCTCCCAAGCCTGGTCTTTACCATGAGGCTTTCTATCAGCCTTCTGGTCTCTGGAGCTCTGACCAGAATTTCCTCTACAGAACAGCCTAAGCTGCTCCAGCTCTATGCATCCAGGTGACTGTCCGAATCTTTCCAAAGTCTGCTCACAAACCATTTCCAAAGCCTCTCGAAAAACATGGTCAGATATAGTCACAGCAAACGACCCCACTCTCGGTACCAAATTCTGTCTTAGTTACTTTTTACTCGTCGCTGAGACAAAATACCTAAAGCCCAAAGTTGGGAAAGGAAAGGTTTATTTCTTACAGTTTTTGGAGGTTTCAGTCCACATTCAGTTGGCTCCAAGGCAGGCCAGCATGGCTGGGCCGCAGTTCATGAAAGCTGCAAACAGCAAAGCGGGAACCAGCAAAAAGCAAGACACACCCCCCTCCTGCCATTACATCACATCTTGGCTCCACCCCTTTGTGAGTGGAGCACTGACACCATCAATCCAAGCACTAGACAATGAATGAATAACAAATGCAAAATGCAAACTCATGAGGCCTGGGGGCCACAGACATAAACCATGACACACACACCCCATGTCAGTTCACACTGTGCATCCGCTCATCCTGTGTGTCTTTTTTTTTTTTTTTTATTGGTACTGGGGATCGAACTCATGACCGCCTGCTTGCAAGGCAGGTGCTTATGCCATTGAGCTAAATCCCCAGTCCCTAATCCTGCATGTCTTGTAGAAGCTACTCCCCAGAGAAGCCATCACAACAGTCCTATGCTTTAGCTCCTTCCCTTAGTTTCTTTGCATTTCACCTTTATTTTCCTTCTCAACATATGTAAGTGGTAATCTCTTTATTTGAATATTACCTAATTAGGGTCTTTATCATAAGTACCTTAAAGGCAAGGAAGCATGTGTATTTTATCCTTATGTGTCACCCTGGCCTGTAACTAGTTACTCAGTCAATGCCTTGCTCATTCTTATTTTTTAAGTAGTGACGTGATCCCAGGTACCTAGTTTCAAACTATTACTGTCTGCTGAAATCATGTCTTTTGTTTCAGGTTTTAGATGTGCTGGGTTTATGTGTAGTTGTTCTGCAGTCACATAAGAACCAGCTGCTTCCATTGGTTCATCGGACCTGGCCCTCACTTGTGCACCGACTCACAAATGATGACCCCCTGGCAGTCCTCAGAGCCTTCAAGGTACTGCATTGATACCGCACTGTCCAGCATTGGGATAGACGTCATAAACACAGAGCTCACTGGGCTTCTTTGCATTGCATCTCCTTATCTGATTGTAATGTCACAGACCTGGAGGAAAAGACCTTAGGGAAAAGTAAGAAAAGCTCAAAAAAGAAAATAAAAGTTACTTTCCTATTGCATTTGAATCAGGAACTAGAAAAGCAAAGGCTACCAGCATTTATTGAACATCTTCTGTGTGCCAGGAAGAGAACTTGGCATTTCCCCACACACAAGCTCATCTCACAGCTGTGCTAGATGAGTATGTTGTGTCCATTTTCAGTAGAGGAGGAAACAGGCTCCAAGAAGTTAAGGAAGTACCTCAGTACCTGTAATACTTACAGCTAGCAAGTATTAGAACTCAGATTTCTGAGTTCATGCTCATGTTAATTGCATTGCCCAGCATTCAAGGTAAAGCATCCCATATTCTAGCCCTGGACGCCGTCTGCTTCACCAGACAGCTGGGCAGAGCCATGACCACCCATTTTCAGGTGGTGCTTAGGAATATCTCCTCACCCTCCTTGCAGTGCTGTCAAGGATAAAATGGGACTCCGCTGAAGTGCTTTGGAAAGCTAAAAGCCCTGTAGAGATGTAAAGTGTTTTTCTCTCTTAGTTTGGTTCATATTAGCACATGTATTGTAGCTTATTTATTTCTGTCCTTCCTTATTCTAAAAAGCACTTCCAGAATCCGGCAGTGATACATTTACCATGGCAGGCTAACATAAATTAGAAGTAGGTAAGCAAGCCGAGGCAAAGAATAAAGATATGTAGGGACATAAGATGAAATTGAGGACCCAATGAATGTACTTGGCAAAAGAAGTTTGATTTTCTGTAAGAGTCTTCAGCATATACTGGGCCAAAATATCAATTTACATTCAAAATACATAAAATTGTTAATATTTTTTCCAAAGCAAAATGTGTGAAATAGCAAGTGTGGAAGGAAGGAAGGAGGTATTACTAAATCCTCCTCACATGTGCGGTTTTCCTTTATGAAAATTAATAGGCAATCTGAAATGATAGCAAGTGTAGAAAAATGAAAAAATATGGAGATGTGTGTGCCAAAACTGAAACTGTGTTTTCCACATGCACACACCCAGAGCTGTATGCACCCTGTGCAGTCCAGCCAACGGACTTCAAACGAGTGCCTTCCTCTCTGCAGAGTGGGCAAACGCTCTACATACTGGTTATGCCTTGCTTCCCAATTTTTAAAGAAATTCCTACTCTACTGTATACTCAGTCTTGTGCAGCAGGGCAAAACGTTTCAATATGTTCTGCTAGAGAAAGTTTAAAATGAGACATGTAAAGAAACTGCCTGTTGTGAAAGATAGAATGAAAGCGATGTACGTAAGAGATTGTGTGGTCAAACAGAAGGAACGTGGAGTCGGCTTCAGCTACAGGGACTGGCTGGGGCTCAGCCAGAGACCGCAGCCTCCCCCTCCCTCCTTTCTCCTCACCCCCCTCCACTCCACCCCAATCCATGGCTGTACAGGGTAGCTGCTGAGCCTTAGTGCTTGTGTTTGCCCAGCTAGCCAGAATTAAAAGCCCAAGTCTCCTCTCAAGGGATGTTAGGGAGATTTCACAGATGATCTATGTGAACTGCTTTAAGCCTTTTTTTTTTTAATAAAAAAAAAGCCAGGGAGGAAAATCAAGGTATTAATCATTTTATTCATCCAATTCAAGGTTCCTCAGAATTATTCTCCATATAATCTGTATTTATGGATAGAAGCAGCTGTGCCTTAGGAGCAGAGACCTCTAAATTCATAACTGTCAGAATCACCAACCATGGGCAAGGAATTAACAGCAGTAATTCTGTTTTGCCTTTTTTTTCAAGTAGAGACCTAGATGGAATTGAATTACCAAGCATTCTTTAGCCCTCTTCCTTCCTTGCTGGTATTTAGTCAGCAAGTTGGCTGTTTCTGCAGGTTTTGTGCACACTGGGAGGCAGCTGTGGTGATTTTCTTCGGAACCGGTTCTGCAAAGATGTGCTGCCGAAGCTAGCTGGCTCCTTAGTTACCCAGGCTCCCATCAGTGCCAGGGCCGGACCAGTTTACTCGCACACACTGGCCTTCAAGTTGCAGCTGGCTGTTTTGCAGGGCCTAGGCCCCCTCTGTGAAAGACTAGACTTAGGTAGGTATCAACTCAGCTCAACTGCATGCAAACCCTGCATCCTGTCCCCCCTGCCTCACCATGCTCGTGCCTCTCCCCTCCTTTCACGACTTCTCCTTCAGTATTACTTTGGCCTCATTCATCCATCCATCATGCATTTCCCCACTCACAGGCTGGAGTACAGAGCTCAGGGAATGTTGCCCAGCTGCTCCAGTTTCCCTAGACAACAGTTGGTTACTGCTTATCCCAAATGAAGTCTGAGGGCCATTGCTTGTTTTGTTTTTCCTCTCTGCAGGTGAGGGTGACCTGAATAAAGTGGCTGATGCCTGCTTGATTTACCTCAGCACCAAACAGCCCGTGAAATTACAAGAGGCTGCCAGGAGGTACGTCTGCTTGATCACCTGCATCTCTTTACGTTTGCTCTAAATTATAGATGATTTTCTAATGGCGAGCAGCTCTGAGGCATCTCTGCTCCCCTTTCTCTCCTTGCCAGGTTAAGATGATTTCTTGAACTACGCCAACTCTGAAGATGGTATTTTTACTAGATGCATTCTCCTTGATTAGTAACCTTTTCCTCTACTAAAACATCTACAACAATTTTATAGGGACAAAAAGAAGAAAGACCATGTGTTGGGGGAACCCAGCACCCTCCTGGCTTGTATATAAGCCACTTCTGGGTCCTGTTCCTGACACCCCTGGTGTCCCATTCCTCACTAGGGAGGCCTCCATAGTAAAGAGAAAGCACTGGGTTACCGATCTCCAAAGCCTCAACTCTGTGGATGGTCTTAGCTGATAGAAAAGTATATGCAAAATTGGATGCATTTTCAAGCAGGCACCTCTTTCTAGAATCCATACGAAAACATAGGTAAGCAACAGAGATCACCAGGCTTATGTTAAGGCAACTCACTATGCAATTTATTGTGCCTGCGTTCAGGCAGAGAACACAATAAGACCTTCTGCCCTGAATAAAGACAATGTGTTTCTTTTTTAGAGATGGAGAGAAGGCAGAGGATAGTAGGTGGGAAGATCCCAGTGAACATCTGTGGTTAGAGTTTTCTCCGGCCTTGCAGCTTAGTGAGCTAAGTCCTTTGAAGTGTACATTGTACATTTTTGGGTGTCCTCCCTAGGTCTCCAGGACCTGCAAAACCCCTCATCCTAACTTACCTCCTTTCTTGTGTTTGCAAGTGCTGATCTGAAATCCCTGCAGAGAGTAGTGCTTCTGCTGGCAAGCAAGCTGGGGGTTAGGCGAGTCAGACCAGGTAGGAGACATGCATACCATTCATCCAGTCCTAGCAGGAGTCTATCGCCCAAAGAAAAGTAACAGCCAATCTGGGCCTTTTCTGATTCTGAAATCATATGATCCTAATTTCCAAGAATGTTGACCATGGTTCTAACAGAAAAAGCTATTTTAGTTGCTGGAGTACTAAGTGATTTTTGTGGTAAACTGGAACTCTGACAGAGGACATCCCCAGACTGCACTCTGACCCCCTTTCTCCAGCTCTCCTTCCAACTGAGAGCAGCCTCATCCTGGAGCTGCATCCCCAGCTGCTCTGGGCCGGCCAGGGCTGTCTGGCCTGCCAGCTCCATGTTCCTGAGTGGTTCCCCTCCTTCCCAGGCGCCTGGAGACAGGGCCTGAGTATCCGCACTGGGCGGGATCAGGTGGTAGGATTCACCTCATTCCCTGAGGAGTTGAAAGGTGCTCTGACTGTGGAATAAGGAAAGCGGCTTGCTCTCTTAGAACCCTCGTACTCCCTAGGAGTGATGGGAATATATTTTTGAATTGATTTATTGCCTTGGCAATTTTTGACTCTTGATTTCCCCAGTAGCCTTTTTTCTTCTGTCCCTTTCTCGTCATACCCCTTAGCCCCAGAATCAGTCATGGTTTCTGGAACACAGGGTGCATCCCAAGGAGCTTCTTGTCCCCAGGCATTCTTAGTCCTTAAATAACCAGCTTATGAGAAAACAGTTCTCTCTAGGCGGTGCCCCAAAGCTCATTGTTGGGTGATTTAAAGCGCAGCCCACAAACATGATGCATTTATCTTCCAGTAAACTCTTTGAGGAGCTTATTACAACCAAGGGTTATAAAGACCTGATTTTCTTTTTTTTTTTTTTTTTTAAGACCTGATTTTCACAATTTCTTGTCCCATTCTTTTTTTTTTTTTTTACTGCCGCTGCATCCTATCCTTCAAGTTTAGAGCCATCAAACAAACTAATATTCGCAATTCATTATCTTTTCATTTCTAATTCTCTTTTTTGCGGCTGAAAGCAATTAAACCCGGAATTGGACCTTGCAGAATCTTGAGTTGGTATTCGAGGTGCCTCAGGAGGAGGAACATGCAGCCAGACCACTGGACTGCAGAGGCACCTTTGTTTGCTTCCCCACATCCACTGGGGGTTGAGTCAGATGACCTCCCTCTGCCAGGGAGTGAGCAGGGGAGGACGTGCAAGGTTGATTGCTTCACACTCACATCAGCTGCAAACTGTTTTGAAATGGGGGCAGGGAGAGAGTGTTGTCCTTGATCAAGAACTGATTTGGCATCTTGATTCAGAAATTAATAAGCTCTCTAAGTGGGAAAAGAAGGCGGAAACAGTAGGAAACCTAATATCTTTGTGAGCTGCATTACTGCGCAGAGAAGGTGATACTGGACTGATTGGTACAGAAGCAGTCACTGATACTGAGCAAGCCATGTGCCCTACCTGGGATAAAGTCCCCACTGGCCAGCTGGTTTGTCCTTGGTTCTCTTTCCTTCCTATCCCACACCCCTTACCAAGGCAAAGCCTGTATGCCTACTTGGCAAGTCCCCTGTAAACTATTTACTTGTCTTCCTCTCCAAACCTTGTAGCTGGGTTTTACCAGAAGCCAAGTGTGGCATTCAGGGCTGCCTAGAGATGACTTATCTCCCTTCAGGTATTAATTTCCCCTACCCTGCTCCTCTGTCGGCCAGAGGGCTGGCTAAGGAACCTGTGAGGACAGGGGCCTGTTCTGAGGCCTCCGCCTCCTGAGAGGAGGTGGATGAGCGCCATGGCCTGTGGAGCAGGTGTGACAGTGTCCCCTGGAGTTGGGGGAGTTATGACCAGAGACCTTCATGAAAATTTCTCTTTATTTTCATTACACCTGGGTTTTTCCTTCCTCTTATTTGCTTTTTTTGGCTGCAAAGAATGACCAAGACCGTGTTTGCTTTTTTAATTTGTCATGTTAAATATAGCCTTTGTGGCAGGCTTTTACATCAGGCTGTAAACTCTGGAAATGGAAATTGATCAGAGAGTGGTTGATATAACCAAGGCTGTAAATGCTAAGAACGGGGATGCCATTCCAGTTTAATGCTTTTATCTAGTGAATACGCCTTGTAAGGAGGGGGCATAAATCTTGCAACTTGGTAGGGGGGATGGGTATAACCTTGCAGCTTGTTACCACCAGGTGTCACTGTTAGAACTAGCAATGCAAAAAAATAAATAAATAAATACAGCTCCCCCAAAGTCCGTGTAGCAAAATAACTTCAATGGATAAAAAAACAAATAAATCATACTTGGGGTATAGGAGGAGGGGTCAAGATATCAGGAGCTATATGTAGGCAGTGTTCCTGAGGGTAAGCACTGAATTACAAATAACAGATCTAATCAGCCACGCCCCCATCTCAGCCCAGTGCTGAGGTACATTTAACTGATTTAAGTTCCCAAATGGCCCCAGAAGCCTCCAGGATATCACCCAGCATGCAGTGTGTGTCCAGAGTTACGTGCCTTCTGACCACAGAGCTTTGCCCTTCTATAAATGAAAGAAATTCGGGATGAGAGCATACACCTTAAATTTCTATTTTTTCTTCAAGCCAGTATTGTTCTCAACCTGGCTTAGCTCTTTTAGAACCACGCATTTTGGGCCAGTCTCTTACTAGCCTCTGAGGCTGCCTGCCTTGCCATGAGGTCTTACATCATGCTACTGGGCTAAAAGGAAACAAAACTAGGCAACATCTATTTTTAAAAAGACGAAGCCCATGCCTGATAAATGTCATGAAAGAGAAACAAAGTTTTCATACTGCCTGGTCTCTACTGGTCCTACCTCCACCTGCCAGCTCTAGAGCCGGCTGCAGATGCAGGGTGCCAGCAGGTAGTGACCAGCTGGTGTACCTTCTGGTCATGTACAGAGACCCGGATGCCTTATTGCTGTAATCTTTGATGTGAAGGAAGAAGGACATGGCCTTTTCAGCCTCCTCTCTCAGCCTTGTATGTGAGCACAAAAGGCACCTTTTTTGTTGTTCTTTTGGTTTTGTTTTTTTTTTAGTATATGTTTGTAGTACATAGTGCAATCACTGTGGGGAATAAGTACATGTGTATAGTATATTTTAATTCTTTTTATTCCCCTTCTCCTCCTCCTTCCTCCCCTTCTTCCATCTCAAGATTGTCTTCCTACTTAACAAAGATCTACCTTCCTATTTCCTGTTGTCTGTCTTTTTCTTTGCTCTTTAAATGATTTATAGTTTGAGTTTTTTCATATAAGAAGAATTATTGTAATACTTAAGTTTATGTGTCTGATTATTTCACTTAACATTGTGGTCTCAAGACTCGTCCATTTTCCTACAGATGACTCAGCTATATCCTTTATGGCAGATATATTCATTGTATATAAATTCCACATTTTCTTTATCCATTCATGTTTCATTTTATCTATTATAAATTGAAAGTACCAGTCTTAGAGTTGGACAGTCTTAGATAAGATCAGATCTTATTTCTGTGTAACCCTGAGCAAATGGCATAGTTTCCTTGCATCTCATTCCCTTCCCTGTAAACTCAAGGTGGTGATAATGCCCTCCTTTGAAGGTCTTAGGGCAGGTGAATTGCTCTCATGCATTCAGGAAGTCTGTTCAGTGCTTGTCCATTCTGCAGATTGGTTAAGGAGCCCCTATGTGCCAAGTAGTTTTCTAGGCATTACAAATAAAGGAAATGAAACAGAAAAGACTTCTGCTCTCATAAAGCTCGGGTTCCAAAGATATACTGATATATTGTCCATACACTGCACACACACGTGAACTTGTACACAGTCTTACAAGTCTGCTTCATGTTTACGAAATCCTGGACAGGGGTTTTCCTATCAGGAGGGTTTTTTCATGTTAATCGTGCCACCTCTGCCCATTCTCCTATTTGTGTGAGAAGTCAGGAACAGGTTTGACAGTCATTTGCTGTCAGACTTCTGCTCCCTTTCTAGCAGTAGGATCCCAGCCCATCAAAGAACCAGCTGGTGCCTTCAAATCCCAGAAAAACACAGACTAGCACAGGCTCATTCATTTCTTCGCTGTCAGAGCCCAACTCTTCTCTTTACCTACATATAGGCCTATCATATTTGAACGGGTCAGGAGCCACAGAGGTGATCCATTTGTTCAGTTGACTTGAA